TTTTTAATTCATTTCGAACAGATTACGTTAATTAATGAGGGCCTGTCTTTGAAGTCCCTTTTTTTCAAAAATATTAGTAACAGAGTGTTACATATGTATACTTTCAATATTTCTGAAATACTTAACTATAATTTTGTAATAATCCAAAAATATTTTTTAATTTAATGAATTCTTAGATATAAAGAAACATAAATTTCATTTATATTTTTCTATTTTTATGTTAATATAATTTAAAATTAAATGTTTTATGAATTATACATTTATAGATAATGTTTTTTCAATGTAATAATCTGAATAATTTTATCTTTCTATATTTGACCTTAAAAAAATTTTGTTTGCGGTCCTCCTTAATAAATTTCTAGATCCGCCAATGATAAAAAGTTGTTGATATAATTCGTTAATAGGAAAAGTTGACTGATTGCGCGAGATAGTAATCACTAACTGGTCAGGAATGATACATCTCTTCATTATACCTATCTCGAGTTTGTCTCAAAGGATAATAACGTTACGGCGTACGGAATCGTGTCCGTTGCCCGTCCGTTCGAGTTTCGTAGTACGAATGACAACACGGCAACTTTGTGTAAATAACGTCGGATGTTACGAAAACAAGCACCGAACATCGCGCCACAGCCAATTCAATAAAATATGTAACGATATCCAATACAGTAAAATATTTAACGGTGGCACTGTTCGCTCATTTAACGAATTCTATTTATTCACGTGTTTGTTCACGTTCACTTGATTTATCGGCGTAAAGTTAAGATGATACATAATTCACATCGAAATTTGAGATAGAATTTAATTTGTAATTTTGTTTTTTTAAATTGTTTTTTTAAATTGTTTTTTTTTAAATACGTAAAACATTTGAAAAATTACAATAAATATGTAACCATAATCAGATTCGATAAATAAAAAATATTGATATGACATTTTAGATTTATTTATTTGAAAAGAACAGAATTTTATTTTTGGAAAAGCATTTATTGCATGTTTATCATTATTATTTCTCTTTACATTTTGAATTATAAAATAGTAAAATTTTAATAACACAAACATTTTGATCTTAATAAATTAAAAAATAAAATTGTGAATAATCGTTTTTATTTAAAAATCACGCTATTGTATCCCATTTTGTTAACAAAATTAATCAAAGAGTAAAGAAAAATTAATTTCTTATATTATACAAATTTTTTTTAGATTATACAAAATAAAGATAACTTTTATCTCAAATATAAATTTAATCCTTAGTATACACAATGTAACATACAATTGGGATATTTGTATGCTACTCGGTTTTTTCTTTAAAATAACTAAATATACTAAAAGCACTTGGTTAAATAATTGTCTGTATCCTTTCTTTTTTTTTTTAAATACACAATTTTATAAATACTTTTTAAAGATGTTAAAATATATGTAAGAATTACTTAATAATTTTTGTATATTTATAAAAAAGATGAAAATTCCCGAAACATGAAATATCGTACAGTAAAAGACCGAAAAATCATCGTGCGTACTAAATTAATAATTTTTCTCAAGTAAAGCAATTAATTGATCAAATTTTAATTGAATATTACATAATTTACATATAATATAAAATTGACTATTGGTGCTACTTATTTTTAACAATTGGTTATAATCATCATGCATATAAGAAATGCCAAATTTAATTGAGTAATAAAAATTATTATCCGAGCGGTCATAAAATCAGTAATAAATGATAGATCTACATATATCTCTGTAAACACTGTAGTTATATTATATGTGCATTTTATGCGATACTATCGGTCAACTTTACCATTCAAGACTTGCAATAACATAAAAATTTGTATTAAGATTTCCGATTGTATATAATCTCCAGAATAACTGTTAGATTATTTGACGGTGATATACGACAGTATCCATGTACCTTTTAATATTCGCAACGTGAAGCGTACAACATATTTTTGCAATATTCCGTGTACGTGACGCAATTTAATGTAACTGATCGGCGTGAACTGTTTTTCCGCAAGTACGACCGCGCTGCCGGCGTAAGCTTCACGCGCGTGCAATTTCAGTGACACTCGTATACGGCGCGTGTATATTTGCGAAGTGAGGCAGAGCGCAGCCCCCGTTCGGTCCCGCGCCGGGCGAATTACCATATTCCGTGTTGCCCGCCCATCCACTACATGTTCCCGTGGGCTTGGCCCAGATTCCGTTACCTCTCTGCTTAATAAACAGAGCCTTTACTGTCGCGCGCGTGCAACGCAGTCTCCGCACTTGAATCCAGTTATCTTTTATTGCGGATTCCACTCTCCTCGCGCGACCATCGCGCCCCCTTCCCCCCGTGTTCAAGTCACGACAACAACGGTGGTATCCAACAACACAGCGTAGTCGCTCAACGTCCGAGTCTATTTTTACTTGGTTTTACTTGGTTTTACTTGGTTGTCTGTGTAAGCAGATTTTTATTCCGCGTTCCTTGCGCGCGTTCCGCATGTCGTGTCGCTCGTTAGCGTTGACGTTTTCGCGACAACGTTGCATTAGCATGGATATTATTCAGCCGAAAGTCGATGGGTTTTGCACGGGATGGCGTTGCACCCGCGCGGGGTTAAAAAGACAGGATAACACGAGTACCGTGGCGTCGCGCATTTGCTTTCTAAGCGTACGTTGTGTTATCAAGTTTCGCGGATAAGGACGGTGGAACTTTGTTACAAACACTCGCGCGAGGATCGATACCGCGCGAGTTGCCGTGCGAATTAATAGATCCACGGTATTTGTACTGAGAGAACTAGCGTCACTGGCGAGTCCATTCACGTAAGAGGAGTTAGTTTTCTGAATAGAATTAGCATAATCTGCTCCTTTCGCTAAACACTCCACGGAAATCACCTACCGAGTCGTATTTGGTGTCTTAACGAGTTAAAACTGGTATTCATTTTATACGTTTTCAAATACATCTCGTATATCAAAGTAAATAAAATTTGCTCAAGCTAATCAAAGGATAATGTAAGGCAAACACGTGTTATTACTTTTGCCTTTTGTTACACGTTTATTGCGAGAATTTATTAAAACGCGCGCTTTTCATGTAATGTTCCAAAGAATGGATGCATCAAGTTAGTGTCTCTAGAGGTAACAAATCGTCGAATAGTATTCGAGTGATGGTAAACGACTAAAATGACTTTGAGAAAGGAAGGGCTCGAGTGGAATGAATAAAGTTTCGTAAAAAGTGAAGGGTCCAGTTGTAAGAGAGGGATGGAGCACAAAGAGGGAAGATTTTAAATCGGGTGAACCAATGTTGTTGATGATGCACATCCCGCGCCAACATCCCCTGTGACACAGAGAAAGAGCGGACCGGAGATAAAGCAAAGAACGTTTTATTCACATGCAATCGGCTGAATCATTGATCGCCGAGCCAACTGCATAAGAGACTAGGAAAATCCTGGAAAAAATGGTATTTTTATGTACTAATGGAATATTTGGAAAAAAAAACTATCAACTTTTGAAATTATTGACAAATTTAGTTGCATAAAATTGGGTGAAGAATTGAAATTTACTTATTTGTGTTTAAGTACGACGGAGAGAAAAAAATTATTGCTCGCTTTATACAATATATCAAGATACAATTATATCATAGAAGCTAAATAATGAAACAACA